CTGATTTGCTGTCAAGATAGGACACCAGCAAAAGGAGGTGGACTCATGTTGTCATTGCCTCTACTCCCTACAGACCAGGAAGAAGACAGGGAGATCACCACCCCTTTTTTTTCTTCCTGGTTGTGTGGGTGCCTCTGCTGATATCAGACCATGGAACCTGCAACTGACAGGAGTTCACACATAGCTTTGTGCCTGGCTGGAAGCAGCATTTGAAACACAAAAGCTGAGGTGATGGTCTAGTAGGGTCGATACAGTCTCAGTCCAGCTGGACCATGTGGATGCCAAAGCAACACTGTATCCAATTGCATCTGACTGAGTCTGAGGCTAGTCTGGATCATTTCTGCTCCAGACGCTGTGAATTTAGCAGCAGTGAAGACTCACTGTTAAGGAAGTTCAAACTGCTTTTGCACTTGGAACTCTTGTTTAAGGCAAAAGAGGCAAGCTGAAATAAAGGAAGAACATGGGAGGAAGAGAGAGAAATTGGAGCACTTTAAAAGCACCTTAAAAGGTGGACCAATAGAGAATCCATCCCTGCCAGCTCAGGATAGTTGGAAGTTATGATGCTTAGGCCCTGTGGCTTCAGGGTTACTGGATTTGCATAAGTGAGCAGGCTCATGCACACAGATCACAGAGTCTGTTGGGCCACCATGCAAGTATGCCAGATTCTGCAGAGCCAAAGAAATGGTCTCTGTGCCTACCATTACTGGCATTCTGTTACCATCCCATCCAAGAAAAGATTTACCTAGGAGTTGATGGAAAGACTCAAGACTCAGGAGGGCCTGCTGAGGGCAGAATATTCCCCAGTTCAGATTTTAACATGAGCCAGGGAAAAAAGTGGAAAAATGTAAAAGCAGAGCTAAAGTGTTTGTGTGTTTTAAATGATCTGCATAATTCTTTTCCAAGTCTAGTTCAAGAGTACTTCACTTCATTTCTGCCATTTGTGCATTAGAGCCTTGTTTCACATGGGATTGATTTTATTACTTTTCTTATGCCACTTCCAAACAGAGTGATAAATTCAGCTGGAACATCCCTCACCCGTAATTCTGAAATCCAAACTACCCCAAAATCCAAAATTGTCCATGTGGATGACTGGGATAGTGATACCTTTGCTTTCAGTGTACATAGATTTCGCTTATTGCACAAAATTATTAAAATCATTTTATATAAAATCACCTTAAAGCTATTTATGAAAGATGCATATAAAACATAAATGAATTTCATGTTTGAACTGAGTCCCACCTCTGAGGCATCACAAGACAAACAGAAAGACAGACTAATGCAAATATTTGAAAATCTTTATAAAAAATGAAATACAAAATATTTCTGGCCTCAAGAATTTTGGACAATGAATACTCATCCTGTATTAGCATTCCCAGTTATATAAACTGATGTAATTCACATGGCATTTGAAAAACAAAAAGCCAAATTCTCACCATACTAAGTTAAAATGTTATGTTATTTTTGCTGATTTTGAAGACTGAATTTTTTATACTGATGAGCCTCAAGTGGAAACTTGCTTGGCCCCTTGCCTTTCATAATAAAAACAACATATAAGCTCTTCATTAAAAATATTATTTCAAACTGTTCTTTTAGGCTGAGAAGAACACCAGGAGAAGCTAAATAAGTACCACTGGCCATAGATGTAGTTTCCTACCTCCCACTTCTTAGTTAAAAAAAAGAAAGAGAAAAATAATAGCAATAGCAAAAAAGCAGCCTGTGAAAATTGATTTCCCTAAACTGGGGCATATGTGGATTAGAGCTAGCCTGAGGTATCGGAGTCATTTCTGTCAAGCAGGGGATGGCAAGATTATCACTAACCTGAAAGGACAGCTCAGTTGGAGCTGCCAATTACGTGTAATGTATGGTGTGGGTTTTGAGTTTAATTGGGGAACAGTTGTGTGTGTGTCAGTTTAAAGGGTGTGGAAATCATGGGAATCACTTCAGAACTTCATATTCACTTAAGCAATTTACTTAGAAAGAATCCAGGGAGAGTGTGAAGCTCCTAGAAATACGTGATAGATGTTCACCAGAGTCTTGTTAAAAACGTGGTTTTGTTTGAGGTTTATTGCACGACATATAGCTTCAGACTTGCTGATAACAGGAATCCGTCTAAATTTCATTTTAAAAAAGAAAGCAAAACTGCATTTATCCACTTAGCTACAAATAGGTATGCTACTCCTGATATATTATATGGGAGACACATAAGAGAAGCAGCCACATGTTGATTATGTGGTGGAGGCTCTTTCTTTGGAGGCTTTTAAACAAAGGCTAGATGGCCATCTGTCAGGGGTACTTTGAATGTGATTTTCCTGCTTCTTGGCAGGGGGTTGGACTGGATGGCACACAAGGACTCTTTCAACTCTATGATTCTATGAATTATACCTTCATAGGAATGGTATCTTGCAAAACAGATCCTTCACACTGTTGGTCTGGCAAAAATACTACTGACATATCTCTGGATGCTATCACAACTCCCTGAAATGTATCTTTCTGGATATTCCCATCCCATGCATTTGTAAGAAAAGAAAAAAAAATTGAGTTGTTGTAGGTTTTTTGGGCTATATGGCCATGTTCTAGAGCAGTGATTCTCAACCTGTGGGTCCCCAGGTGTTTTGGCCTACAACTCCCTGAAATCCCAACCAGTTTACCAACTGTTAGGATTTTTGGGAGTTGAAGGCCAAAACATCTGGGGACCCACAGGTTGAGAACCACTGTTCTAGAGGCATTCTCTCCTAAGGACCAGGATAGGAGAGAATGGCTCTAGAACATGGCCATATAGCCCAAAAAACCTACAGCAACCCAGTGATTCCAGCCATGAAAGCTTTCAACAATAAAAAAAAATACTTCTTTGCATTACAGCTTCCAGAATCTCTCAGATTGCAGGGCACAAAATGATGTTTCTTTGTAAAACAAATGCTGTTTGTTTCCTTCCTTTTTTGCACAGAATAAATCCTGAACTGTGAATACCCTTAAAAACTGCTTTTTTCAACAATTTTCTCACAGCAGACAAAATTGTAAAATTACTTGTTCTTTCCAGTGAAAATGAAGTTTATGGGGATTTACTGACACTGTGGGTACACACTGCCACACTACACCACAGCAGCATTGCTGCCTGATGTTTTACAGCAGACATATTTGCATGGAGAAGAGGCTGTGGAATGGTCACCTCAGTGGCCCTTACCCCTCATGACTTTCTCCCTCAGCCTCCAGCCACTGCTGCTGTAGGGTACAGCATCTGTGACAATAAGGATCCTCTCACCATTTGCACCCATGTCCAGCTCCCAGAAGTGGGTACCAACCAGGCCCATAGCCAGGATTTTGATTCGGGGGGGGGGGGCTGAGTTTTTTTCAGGAGGGGTTTTGGGGGAGGTGAGTTTTGGGGGGGCTGAGTCTGAGTGAAAGAGGGTCTACCCTAGCAAACCTTTTGTATCATTACCCCAATACCCCCATGCATATGGGATATATTGAGTATGGTGATCAGATCATGATATGAATAAACATAACAGTTTAAATAATGCACCAGCAAGGCCTTTTCGCGAACCACCATGAGAATTTCGGGGGGGGGCTGAAGCCCCTCAAGCCCCCCCCCCCCCCCCCCCCCGGCTACATGCCTGGTACCAACTACCCAGTTTTACTCACTTTAACTGCCATGGCTCAATGTTACAGAATCATTACAGTTGTAGTTTTATAAGGTCTTTAGCCTTCCCTTCCAGTTAGTGCTGGTGCCTTACAAAACTATGGTTCCCAGGTTTCCATAACATTGAAATATTATAGTTAAAGTGGTGCCAAGCTGCATTAATTCTACAGTGTAGATGCACCCTGAAAGGGCTACAAAGTTCACCTCAATATCTTGGTGAGAAACTGAATGTATGGGCTACACAATGAGTTAAGCAGAAAGCAACTGTGTCTTTAGCACTTTCTCTTTCATCCCTAGGTTCTACAGCAGTGGTTCTCAACCTGTGGGGCCCAGGTGTTTTGGCTTAAAACTCCCAGAAACCCCAGCCAGTTTACCAGCTGTTAGGATTTCTGGGAGTTGGAGGCCAAAATATCTGGGGACCAACAGGTTGAGAACCACTGTTCTACAGATTGTTTGTGGACAAATCTCAGTTAACTGCAAAATAATTTCTTTTTCCAATCCCGGTTTGATGCTATTTGCAGTAGATAAACAATCAACAGAAGATGGCTTTACTTTGAGGTGACATAACATATAAATACAAGCATCAAAATAAGAATTGTAAATATTTTCAAAAGAAAGCTATGACTTATATGGGGGGGGGGGCATTTTTGCTGCCAGGTTTCAGATTAAATGTGTGCTTTCTGCTCCTGTGTGCCAAAACAAATTGTCTGTTAGGTACTATATTTACCTAAATAAGCAAGGGGAGGATGAGAGCTACTGCTTTCTCTCAGGCAGCAAAATTGTTTAGGATGCATCTGCACAGTAGAATTATTGTAGTTTGACACTAATTTAACTACCATGGCTCAGAGTTTTGGAATCCCAGGAATTGTAGTTTGTTGAGGAGCTAGCACTCTTTGGCAGAGAAGTTATAAAACTACAACTCCCATAATTCCACATCCCTGGGCTATTGAAGTTAAAATGCGGTCAAACTGCAATACTTTTACATATAGATGCACTTTAAGGTCACTCTCATATGTACCAGTGGTACTTTGGGTAGGCTGACCTTTGAGGGGATGTCGACAGAAGGGATGGTGAAATTAAGCTGGAAAAAGATACATGCGCTTCAGCATACACACATACAAGACGATCTGTACAAATAGTACTAAACATTATGTCAGTGCTATCCTCATTGTCACCCAAAGGAGGAAAATCATTCTCTGAATAGAAATGGGAATGAACTATATCTGCCTTCCCAGAAATTATGAGGAGCAATTTGAATTCAAGTGCCTTTTCTGCCAGTTACAAATCACCGCAGAGTGTTATTCACCATAATGCTGTCCAAACATCATTTTATTTATTGAAGTTTATTGCTTCTCTTTTGCAGAGTGATGAGGTTTTGACTGTCATCAAAGCAAAAGCACAGTGGCCTGCCTGGCAACCACTAAACGTGTAAGTAGGCAGGGAATTAAACCTCCCGAAAGACTTTTTTCTTCTACACTATCCTCTGACAGAATACTCTGAATGTCTTGCCTTCTGCCAAACTTTTATTTGTTTCAAAGAGGAATTGGGGCAAAGTGCTGTTGATAAATGGGTTCCTTTTCAGTTTGTTTGTTGTCTCTTTCCTTTTATAACTCTAACAATATTTCAGCAAGGAGATGAGGAGTTTTGCTTATTTAACAGGCACTGTAGACAGAAATGGATATTCTTCTATTGTGCTGCCCCTTGCTTTGACAGTGAGGATAAATCTGCAGTGCTCTAAATTAATAGGCTGATGACATGCATGCTTACTTAGAAGTGAATTTAGCTGGGTTCCATGGAGTTTACTCCAAAACATTGTGCAAAGACTTTGATTTTTCAACTGACCTGACATAGAGCCTTGGAAGGTTCGGTGGAAGGGCTAGGAGTCTACAACAGGAAATGTTCAGCACCCTGACAAAACTACAGTTCTTAGTTTGTGAGAGAGGAACAATGGCCATGATTTTGTGATATGACCATTCCCATTTAAAACAGGGCTAGCAAAACTTTAGCTGTCTTTGAAGAAAAATCCTCCTACAATCCCTCACTGTTGTTCTTTCTGGAAAGTAATGAGAAGTATTGTAGGCCTGAAAAAATTGAACAAAGGTTTTTATCCCTTATTTAAAGAAAAATGCTATTTAACAATTGGATAACCTGCACCTTGAATTGGGACTGGAAAGGCCAGACAATGGATAGGGTTGGGGGGGGGGGGCTAGTCAACGGATGAACCAATTGTATTCCCTCAGATTCAATATTCAGCCATGTAATAGGCATTCTGAAAGAACAGGCAAAGAAGGCAAATTCATAGCCCCCATAATAATAATAATAATAACAACAACAACAACAACAACAACAACAACAACAATTTTATTCTTATATCCCACCACCATCTCCCCAAAGGGACTCAGAGCAGCTTATATGGGGACCAAGCCCAGCAAAAACAGAATAAAATGTAACACAGATTTTTAAAAACTTACATTTCAATAATTAAGACGATAAACCAAACAACAGACATCATAAAAATATAAGTAAAACAATCATCATCAACCAGCAGCTGAGAACAGTGGGCGTGTTCAAATCTAGGACAGGATAAGGGCTTGTGCAATAAAGCTATATGGGTGGGGTGAGTTATAAAGTGCTACAAGGCCAGACAATGGATAGGGCTAGTGGGGGCGAGTCAATACATGAACCAAATGAATCAAAGGCACATTGAAACATCTAAGTTTTCAGGTCTTTAGGACAGGGTGGGAGCAAATCTAATCTTCCTGGGGATAGCATTCCAGAGCTGGGGAGGGGCATCACCAAGACAGCCCTCTCCCTTGCCCCCACCAACCATGCTTGTGACAGAGGCAGGAGCGAGAGAAGGGCCTCCCCAGCAGATCTTAAAGCCTGCACAGCTTCACAGGGGAGGATGCAATTGTGAAGATAGGCAGGACTTGAGCCATTTAGGGCTTTGTAGGTGATAACCTGCACCTTGCATTGGGACCGGAAACCTATCAGCAACCAGTGGAGTTGTTTTAATAGGTGGATTGTCTACTCCCTATAATTAGCTCCAGTTATCAATCTGGCTGCCAACCTTTGTATCAATTGCAATTTCCAGGCTGTCTTCAAAGACAGCCCCTGTGCTCTTTATGTCTGCCCTTCTTCTAACATAGAGAGCAGCACTGTGGAGAGCCTGCATTATTGTTGTTGTTAACAGCTGTTGTGTTTATTTCAACTTATGGCAACTCTATGAATGATATTGCTCTGTTCCCTGGTTTTGCATTCCACTAACCTATGGTTAACCACAAATCTTTTTCTCCTTGATTTCTGCATAGAATCTTTCAATGTCTTCCTCCTCCTCCTCCTCCTCCTCTTCCCTCTTCTTCTTCTTCTTCTTCTTCTTCTTCTTCTTCTTCTTCTTCTTCTTCTTCTTCTTCTTCTTCTTCTTCTTCTTCTTCTTCTTCTGCCATTATAGATGAGTTTAAACTTAGATTATGATTATCTTGTTCGATTTTCCCTGAAGTCTTATTGATATTATTCAATGAAACTTCGCATTATATGCTTTGACTGCTTTTGGAGCATCTCTTCTTACTTTCCATGCCTCTCCATTTCTTCTTATTTATTTTTATTGTATTTATATACTGCTTTTCTCACTCCTGGGGGGATTCAAAATGGTTCACAAGATAATCCATGGCAAAATGCAATACCTTACACATATAAAACATCCCATCTCAAATAGCAATAGATTAAAACCATTAAAACTATAAAACTATAAACAACAATCACAACACAACATAGAACATTTAAATCTTTCATCAATTCCGAGGTTATCTTTAACTATTTCCAGATGTCAGTACTCCTGACATTCACCAAATGCCTTCTTAAACAACCAGGTCTTTAGTTGTTTTCTAAATGCTAGGAGGGAGGGGCTGATCTAATCTCATTGGGGAGGGAATTCCACACCCAAGGCCACACCACCCAGAAGGCCCTGTCTCTTGCCCCAGCCAATCACACCTGCAAAGACTGTGAGACTGAGAGCAGGACCTCCCCGGTAGATCTTAGTGTTCTAGCTGACTCATAAAGTGAGGTGCATTCAAAGAGGTAAGATGGACCGGAACCGTTTAGGGATTTCTAGGCTAAATCCAGCACTTCGAATTCTGCTCAGTAGCACACTGGCAGGGGGGCTGTGTGCTCCCTGTACATTTTTTATTTTCTGACAATCTCCTTTCCTGTGTCATTTTCTAAGTAAAAATGTCTCCACCATTCACCCCCAAATATTGTTATGTTGATAAATTCCATTTGTCATTTTTCTGTGGGGTTCATCTGCAGCTGCCATGTAAAGCAAATTGAATGTGGCAGAAGCAGATGCAAAGTGAATATGCACATGTCCACATACACAGTACTGGCAGCAGATTGAGACCTTGCAGGTGTTAATTCGTGACCCTCTGTTGAAGATTATAAACAGCTCCCTTGAGCAAGGAGTTTTTCCAGAGGGTTTAAAAGAGGTGGTGGTTTCTCCCCTGCTGAAGAAACCAGACTTAGATTGTTCAGTTCCCTCCAGTTACCACCCAGTTTCGAATCTCTCGTTTCTGGGCAAGGTGATTGAGAGGGTAGCAGCGGAGCAGTTGCAGCAATTCCTAGATGACACAGCCGGACTGGATCCCTTCCAGTCCGGCTTCTGTGCAGGGCATGGAACAGAGACTGTGCTGGTCTCCATCACGGATCACCTTCGATTGCAGCTTGACCAGGGTGGGTCGGCACTGCTTGTGTTATTGGATCTCACAGCAGCATTTGACACAGTCGACCACAATCTTTCTTCACAACCGTGGACAGTGAGTGGAGAGGGGAGGCCTGGTCTCTGAGAGGTCCCCTCTATCTTGTGGGGTTCCTCAAGGGGCCATTCTCTCCCCTCTGTTGTTTAACATTTATATGCGATCACTTGCTCAGCTGGTTCGAGGCTTTGAGCTTGAGTGTTCCCAGTATGCTGATGACACTCAGCTGGTGCTGAGGATGGAGGGCAGACCGGACTCTGTACCCGATTATTTTCATCAGTGTCTCGAGGCTGTTACTGGATGGCTGCGTGCCAGCAGGTTGAGGGTGAATCCAGCAAAGATGGAGATCCTATGGCTGGGTCAACCGGGCAGTGGGGATATCCAGCTGCCTACTCTGGATGGCGAGGCGCTACACCCGTCATCATTGGTAAAGCGTCTGGGAGTCCTTTTGGACCCTCTGCTGACGATGGAGGCCCAGGTCTCTGATGTTAGCGGAACCACCTTTTTTCATCTGCGGCAGGCTAGACGGCTGGCCCCCTACTTGTCCAGGGACGACCTAGCTATGGTGATCCAGGCTACGGTCATCTCAAGACTGGACAACTGTAATGCCCTCTACATTGGCCTTCCTCTGTCGGTGATCCAGAAGCTCAAGTTGGTACAAAATGCAGCTGCTCGGCTTCTTGCAGGAATTCCGATGAGATGCCACATAACACCAATCTTTCTGCAGCTGCATTGGTTACCAATTGAGCACTGGATCACTTTCAAAGTGATGGTACTCACCTTTAAGGCCTTGCTTGGTCTGGGGCCGATGTACCTGAGGGACCGCCTGTAACGAAATTAGCATTGACCTTTCTGACTTTGGCAGGGGGGGGAAGACTTTTCAATCCCACCTCTGCCACCAAAACAAGGGATGATAAAGTATTATAAATGACCGATGTTATTGGTAGATATGACTGCCACCACCTCAGTTTTATTGGTCTGAGGAACAAAGGTGTGAATGTGCTGTAGGTAAGGTGTGTTTGCCCTCGGTTCTTCTGTAACTCCTTTACTGGTTGACTGGACTTTAAAAGGGTTTGACAGACTGAAGCTGACACCAGTTAAAAGTGAACTAGAAAAGGTTTATTGAACTTTAAAAGTGTTTCGACTCATAGAATGAGCGGTACAGAAGCGTAATTTAGTTGTAGAGACTTAGTTATTTAAACAAGTAGTTCCACTGACAATAAAGCTTTTAAAACTGTGAGTTCCCTTAAACACACTGCTCTATCCTTAGAAACAGTATCACTTGGAGAACAGACTCCTATCTGTCTCACCCACAGGGCAATAAGCTCTCTTATACTTTCCCTAAGTATAAGAAGACAAGTCTTTCTGTTACTGATCCTCTCAATACAGTAACCCTAGCCCTTGTCTGCTACTCATTCCCTATCCTTAAGGCTCACTTTAAAGCTTTCTTTCCCTGTCAGACTCCTATTCTAGCTTCCCCTCTAAAAATCCCATCCTTCTGTGTCTGATGTCAAGACACTTCTCCTCCCTGTCAAAAGCTGACAGCCTCTTTCCCTCTCTCAACCGACTCCTCCCCTAATTGCTCCAACCAATCAGGAGTCGGCTTGACTCCTCCTCCTGCTTCTGCCTATCTTTCAAGATGACACCTACTGACATTCAGGCTTCGGCCTGGTCACCTTA